CCTATCTACCCTCCTGGCTTATCGTAGCCATCATCTGGCATTACCGTATTTTCACCGGTACCAACATCGGCCTGGTCATTGTCGTGCACGTTCTTCTGGGACTTACCCTCGCGTCATGGTCCTTCTTTGTCGCCGTGCCTTTTGGAAAGAGTCCTCAGCTCGCGGCAGTCTCGTCTACATTCCTTGCTATCGCTTTTGCGATATTGGCACTCGTCCTCGGGAAGGCGGGGACCGGCGTGGCGGTTGTATTCTCTCTCATATTCCCGCCTGGTTTCTACATTTTTGTGCTTCGCTCGGTTGTTGGTTTTGAGGTCCACCAAATACCAACTCATGTGATCCATCCGGACCCAGACAATAACCTACGCATTTTGCCTATTCTGATCGCAGCAATCGTGAGTATACCTCCCTTTCCACACGGTTTCGAAACTCATTCCTCCTCTCAGGTCGACATATTCCTATGGCCTTACCTTGCCGTACTGTTAGAACGCTCCCTCTACGACGCTCGCAATTCATCCACTCACCGTCGTGCCTGGAAGTTCTGGCTTAAAGCATCCAGCGACGCCGAGGAATATAGTCATCCGATCCCCAATGGTATCGCTATATCCATTCGTCACCTAGGCAAAGACTTCCGAACTTCCACATTGAAGACGAAGAAGGGAATTGTCACCGCCATAGCCGACCTCAGCTTAGATATCCCAGAGAAAGGTATTCATGTCCTACTTGGTTCCAATGGGTACGTGGCGTTTCCTGCCTGCGAGGTATTTTGGCTCATTCACACTACGCCAGAGCCGGGAAATCCACGGCAATGTCCATCCTCGGCGGCTTACTTGGACGCACGCGAGGCACAGTCAAGTTCGCAGGCAATGTTTACCGCCCACCCAGAGGCACAATCGGAATTGTTCCTCAGAAGAACGTCCTCTTCCCCGATTTGACCTGCTACCAAACGCTACAAGTATGGAGGGCAGTGAAGAGAGCGGACACGTCTGTCGAAGGGGAAGACGATATTGCGCAGTTGTTGAAGGATTGCGATCTGGGAAAGAAGTTACATTGTCCCGCGTCGGAGTTGTCGGGTGGGCAGAAGAGGAAGTTGCAGCTTGCTGTTGGATTAGTTGGAGGGTCTAAGAGTGAGTCTTGGCTCTTTTGTGCTTTCACATTCTCACCGGAAATGCTTCTCCCAGTCGTGTTGGTCGACGAGTGCACTTCTGGTGTAGACCCTTTGTCCAGACGATCAATCTGGCGGACTCTTTCTGCTGTTCGTCACGAGAGGACGATTGTATTTACAACCCACGTGAGTAATGTCTCCAGCAGTTATAAGTCTCTAGTTCACGTATATCAACAGTTCCTTGACGAGGCCGACCTCCTTGCGGATACCATCTCCGTACTCGCCGAACCAGGCAAGCTTGTCGCCCACGGCACTCCCGTCTCTCTCAAATCCTCGCTCGGTGAAGGCTACACTGTGGACATTACATTTGCAATCTCAGACACGCAGGAGAAGACCCCGGATCAACTTTCCGTTGATCTACTCCAGCGTATCAAGGACTTTGCGCCTTCGACATACCTCTCGCCGTCTTCTCCCATCCAATTTTCTTACCATTTGAAGGTCAAGGATGCCTCCACAGTCCAGCGGATCCTCCAAGCTATCGAAGATGAGAAGGAGGCTTATCGCATATCGTCCTACTCCATCCGTGGCACGTCCATCGAAGATATCTTTCTGGGACTCATGTATGACAGTCGCACAAAAGACGAGGTCGTGGAAAAGGAAGCCACAGAGGTCGCCGCCGCTCCGTCCGACCCACCACGTACAATGACCTTGTCCAATGGCCGTCCCTGCTCCGCGCTCAGCCAAGCTTTGACGATCTTCCATAAGAGGTCCCTGATATTTCGTCGAAGCTGGCTGACACTGTGCCTTGCCGTCGTAATTCCCGTTTGCGGGTCGTGCATCCCTCTATTCTTTCTGGGAGACGCAAAGGATACTTGTGCTCAGACTGTACGGAAGAATATCACGAGTATGCCTTTATACCTACCTGTTTCTGCTATTGGAGTTACGGAGCAGATGGAAACGGGGAATCACATACTCGCGTCACCACCTGGTATTATCTCTATCCTCGGAAACTCAACAAACGGGCTACTTGTGGACAGCTTACCAGACAACACGACGTTCGTGGATACCGTCGACCAAACCTTCCTGCATCAACCCCTTGGGGGCGTTTCAGTGGATCCGCAAACGAACTCTGCGTTGTTTGCATGGGAGGCCACTTCTCCCGGATCCACTGGTCAGGTTATGCTAAACTTCGCTTCCAACCTCCTATACAATGTCATTTTAAACGGTACCGGGAAGGCTAGGCCCACACCAAGTATCATCGCTGCCAACTACCGAGACTTCCCTGGTGTCATCGCCCAGGCTGGTAACCTACAGGCTTTGCGCTGGCTTGCGTTCTTTGGGACTAGCATGGTGAGTCTTCACAACGACACTCCTTTCGTACCCGCTCACTGGACACACCGTACAGGCTGCCTTTCCCGCTTTCTTCTCGCTGTATATCTCGCAGGAGCGACGATCCTCCGTTCAGGCGATGCAATTCTCCAACGGTCTGGCGAATCCCGTCGGTCTATGGCTCGGACACCTCCTCTTCGATTCCATCTTCTGTCTTGTAATTGCTACCGTCATAGTCATCGTCTTCGCTGCTGTCTCAGGATCGCATTTCCATGGCCTTGGGCTACTCGTAGGTCTCTTCCTCTATTCCGTTGATCTCACGACGCTGAAGTCATCGCCGTAGTGGTTTGTCTTGGTTCAATACGGCATTGCGGGTACCTTGTTTGCGTATCATTTATCACGCTTTGTGTCCTCTCCTTTGGTCGCTTTTGCTATTGGTTCGACTTATCACGGAACTATATTCGTTGTGAGTGAGATGCTGCTTGAGTTCATGCCTCACCCTGACTTTTGTTCTGTAGCTTTACCTCTCCGGCTACTTACTTATTTTCACATATTCCAGTTCCTCGGACGCAAACCGTGCACTTGATATCTTTCGTGAGTGCTCCTTGATCCCTCCATATGTCTTATTGACCGGGCCACCGTAGATTACACTTCATCGTTGTTTTTTTTTTTTTTTTTTTTTTTTTTGCGTCACGTTTTATGTCCTCGAGCCTAGACTATGGTGGACAAACGACTACGTACAGGAATGACTATGTGCGGGTTTCGAGACAGAGAGAAGCAGCGAACACGAGTAAAAGGGTTTCAAAACAGGATGCTCGAGGACAGTTGGGTACCTCCGGCCACTTAAGGCTAGTTCAGGGTTAAAACCTGCCGTGCTTTTTGCAACGGTTCAGGAGTCGCGGTCGGTCCCCCTTCCGCGACATAACTCACCCTGCTTCATCGTTGTTATCACCAGTTGCTAGCGCTGTTCGCGCTTCCTTCGTTTCCGTTAATCTCTTCTCTCTGATATGCGATAGCAACGGGCATGCATCATCATCGTCATCCCTAGGCCAGTTCTCTAAGTACGGTGGTCCTATCACCTACCTCTTCATCTACGCCACCGTTCTATTCGCCATTCTTATCTGGGTCGACTCCGGTTCACCTTTTCCTCGCCGCAAACCCTCTTCCTCTACCACCTCAGCGCAAACACAAGCGGGATGGAGCGAGGACGTGAAGAAAGAGGTGACGGATGTCACGCACTCCTCGGACTCCCTCCGCGTCTTGCAGATCGTAAAATCATATGGCCCTCGCAACACCGTCGTCGACAACGTCAGCTTCGGTGTCGACAAAGACACAATCTTTGCCCTCCTTGGACCAAACGGCGCAGGAAAGACCACAACATTCAAGATCATTTCCGGGGATGTCGTCCCCGACCAAGGGGACGTCATGATCAACGGTACTTCGGTTGTGCATCAACTTAGGTCGGCGAGGTTGTCTTTGGGCGTATGCCCGCAGTTCACGGCTATCGACTCGCAGTTGACTGTGCGTGAGCATCTCGCGGTGTACGGTCGATTGAAGGGTCTGCAGAGGGGCGAAGAGTTGGAGCGGAACGTGCAGGACTTGATGCGTGCAACGTCGCTGCATATATATGCCGACCGACTTGCCAGCAAACTCTCGGGCGGGAATCAGAGGAAACTGTCTCTTGCTATTGCCCTCATCGGTGAGCTCCCTTGCTCCTTTTGCGTTCTGAAACCCATCAAATTGGGATCTCATTGCAGGTAATCCGTCGTGCATCTTGATCGACGAGTTCTCCACCGGAATCGATGCCAAGATGAAGCGAGACATGTGGAAGACGTTGCGAAACGTTGCAGCGGGGAAAGCTGTTGTCATCACCACTCGTAGGTTCCTAACATCTTCAGGATTTTGACTCTCTACTTATGTCCTTACTTCTCAGACTCCATGGAAGAAGCCTCAGCACTCGCCACCAAAGTCGGCATTCTGGCGAAGCGCATGCTAGGTGCGGTCTCACTTCCAGTACAATATCCTCACGCGAGTTAACCGTCTCGCAGCCATCGGGACTACCGACTCACTAATCCCCCATCACACCTACGAAATCCACTTCTCCTGCCGCACCCGCGACGACACTCTCAAAGCCCAACGCCTCATGTCCCGCATCCCTACCTCCCGACTGCTCGACGACGTCTCCACTCGCTTCGAAGTCCCCATCACAGCAGACACCACCCTCCCGGAGTTATTCTCCGTCTTGTCTTCCAATGACTCGGAGGATGTCGGGGAGTACACGGTAGAGAAAGGGTCGTTGGAGACGGTGTTTATGAAGGTGATTAGGGAGAATGACGTGTTGGAGGAGGATGTTGGGAGGAGTGGGGGGAGGGGATTCTTCCGGTGAGACTGACACGACATGTGTATGAGGCACAGATGGTACATAAGCAATGCACATACATTTTATCAACTCAGTTAATACATGCTTTCGTCGTCAGGGGGGGCGTCGCAGGTTGGTCGCAGGTAAACCTTGATGCGGATGGTTATTGTTGAAAAGAATATAGTGGAGTAATAATGAACCATTAACAAGTCCCTCTTAGCTCAGTTGGTAGAGCGCGTCACTAGTAATCACATGACATCAAGTCATGTGACCCAATGACGAGGTCAGTCGTTCAAATCGGCTAGCGGGAACATTTTTGGCATCTTTTTGCGTCGCCTCTTAAGAGCTACGGAGCTTCGTTCAGCGCGTCGAGTGGAAATAGGAAAGGAGTCCAGGTGCAGAGAGGGGTTTTTTTTTGACGCCACGCGATATCTGGAACGGAGACACCCCAGGTGTCCCCCGAACTGCATTCCCGAACTATAGATCTATGTGCTGCGTCACGTCAATTCTAGTAGCAAGATAATGTATTAAAATGCGAGTAATAGATAGAATGAATGGATAGACGATGGGCGATAGCCCGCCGGAGGCGGACCATCGACACCGAGCGTACAACCAAAGTCGGAGATAGCAGAACACTAGCGATACCCACTAGAGAAAAGGAGTTCATACGACGCATCAGTGATCTGCATTCCCGAACTTTAGGAGTATGGACGCGTACTTTGAACGTTTCAACGCCTCCCTGCTCTGATGGATGGCATTGCAAGGCGAGAAAACTCTCCGAAACCTTCTTTGTCCTGTAGATACGGTGCGAGAATCTGGGCGTGTTTGCGTAGGTAGATTTGAAAGGCGTCGCTGGCCCAACGCCCCATTGATTTGACTACTTCAAACGAAACTTCTCGAAGTAAGTATTCGAGAGTTCCCCCGATTCGAAACGAGTGACCGCTGAAATGATTGTCGTTTGGGATCAAACCCCGCTGCTGGGCCTGTTGGCATACATCTTTGAGGCGGGTTAGGAAGATTGAGCGAGAAAGAGGGGAACGTGAGCTGCGCCGAGTGGAGTGCATGAAGATGTGCTCGGAATCGTTTGGTGCGTTGATTCGAAAATGATTCTCCAGGGCAGCAACCGGGTCGCTAAGGCCGCGTTGTTGGGCAAAACTGATTTCTTCTCCCTTGATTGAAGTCTTGGTACGTGGGATGTAGATGGCTGTGACCACATTCCCGCGGCGGTCAGATTGCTCCGAGACGTTGCATCTACGGGGGTGAATGGAGGGGTTATATTCTTTGATGGTGCGTACAGTGAGTTCGCCGGTACGTGCAATTCCGTAGAATAAGGAGGTTGCGCAAGCCCATACAGCGGCGTCTCTTGAATTTCCAAGATCGAGGATTTGTCGGATGGCTAGTAGGTCACTGACTGTGATTGGGAGGCGTTGGCTTCTCTTGGATGTCTCGGGAGTGGTGATATCGGCCGCCTTGAGTATTGTGTCCATCGTGGCTTTGTCGAGAACCCAGGCAACGCGATGCAGAATGTGCCAGGCACGCACGCCCGAGAAGTAGTTCCGTATGGTTGAGCCCGCATACGTTCCAGCCAGGGTTGCAACAAACGACACCATGAGGTCTGTGCTGGCAGGTGCTCGTGCGTCCTCAGGAACACCTTTTTTGTCGCAGAATGCGTGAAAGGCAGATAGACCCGCACCGTAAGTCTCTTGTGTACTTCCTGCCCAGGCTTGCGCTAGTACTGCCTTAACCCTCTCTCTATCTTCCTCCGACAACGGACCGTGGTTGGTATTAGAGGCCGATGCGGGTGCCCATAGGGTTAAACGGTCTTTGGCCGAGCAGTTCGGGCGGAGGGGGGATGGTTGCAGTTGGGTTGTAGCGTCGCGACGACGAGGCAGTGATATGTGATCTGGCCGGGTGTTTGTCGGTGCCACTGAGATTGTAGTCATGGTGTGGGTAGGGGAATGGGGTTGGAAGCTTTCAGATGCTGCAAGGGGGTACGCCAGTTCATGAAGCTGAGTACTGAAGGAGTTCGGCGGGGGAGTACTCTGTGACTGTTCCACTGAGTTCTGAGGGGATGTTGACTGGGGGAAGAAGTTGGGAAAGAGGGGGGAAGATTCGACGCGATGGCCCGTCGGCTGGGTTGCATGCACTGGGGGTGTATTTGGCGTATACTGAAGAGTGAGTCCCGGATAGAACTCGGTGTATCCGTCTGAAAATGATGTTGACCTCGACATTGTGGCTGCGTTTGTTCTTCCATCCGTCAATGACTCCCTGATTATCGCCCGTGAGAATCAGGTGTTGGTCGTTTTCTCCGTTAGATAAAAGAGCGAGAACGAGGAGCTCAAAACCAACCGCTTCTGCCCAACCAATGTCTCTAGCATCTCTCTTCCAATTTCGGTGGAGCTTCCACGCACGCCATCTCTTTCCGATGCATATTCCGATTCCGTGGGAGGAGCTGGCATCCCAAAAGGCGAAGGAGTCCACGACATCAAGGGGGCCAAGGATGCGAAGTGGACAGAGAGGTGATGAGAGAAGTTGTTGCCACCAGTGGAGATCGGAATGGGTTTCGCGAGGAGGGGCAAATTTAGTGAAAGGGCTGCGAGCGCATATCCCCACCATGCGCTTTAAAGAGGTTAAGTAGGCGCGGCCTTCTGGGAACACGAGGGAGACATGCATAAGCTTGCCAAGCAACTTCTGCACTTCACGTAGGTCGTGTCTGTCTGAGGTGAACCATGAGGCGATGGCGTTCAGGTATTTTTCTCGTTTCTGTTCGGTGATTGTGACTCTTTTCCGCTTGATGTCCCAAGAAAAACCACTGAAAATGACGATGTTAGACCAGTCTCTGTCTTTGCTTGGGTCCCATGGTATTCCGAGCTCGTTTGATACAAGGTCAATGTCTGCAAGGTTGCATGAGAAGAGCAAGTCTCGATGGGATCTCGGAGACTGTTGCGAGAGGTCGTGAATGGGGAAACGCATGTCGTCGTCAAACTCTTCAATCAGACCACTTGGTAATACTCTTCCGCCGTACCATATGCGGCCTCCTGTGTGATGACGACCACCCCCCTGTAAGATGTGCGATCTCCAGAGTGCACGGTTCTTGTTATATAATGTAATGCTTGTGCGTGGAATGCGGAAGAAAACATGGTCGTCAACCCACTTCGCGATAGGGCCTAAACCCTTGAAACGCATGATTTCCACTCCCGCGTCAGCAACATGGCCATAAACTCCTGCGTTCGCGGAGCCACCAAAACATGCTTGGAAATCGAGGGCAAAGATATCTTCGTTATTCGACAGACGAATGACCGTTCCGGGCCATTGAGATGGATGTAAAGGAATGGTCCGATAGGCTTCAGAGACATCGCGGACGGCTCCCTCGGAACCTGATGGAAGGCTCCAAACGAGTCTGCAAAAGGAGTGGAAGGTACCCCATAGACATGGGTAGTTGTCGGAATTAATGTGAGAGTTAATAGAAGTGTGGTCTGAAGAAGGAGAATGGGGATAAGAATAATTCTGGACAAGTCGAAAAACATTGGGTTTGTGAGGTTTGGGGACAAGGGATAATGGGGAGGTCTGAAAAGGGCCAATTAAGAGTTCAAGTTCTGTCTGTAAGAAAGGACCCATATAACGGCCACGAGAAAATTCATGAGATAAGATGCGATTAAATTCGTCCATGTGTTCGTAAAGGGAGGGACTGTTCAGTGGGGTGTGTGTACAAAGGATGCGAGGAATGCCGACGTCGAAGCCGTACTGTAGGCTACGGGGAATGCTAGGATATGAATCAAAAAGATCCGCTTCTTCAAGAAGACGAGCCCATACGATAGGAGAAAATGGTGTGAGTGCTTTACACCTTCTCTGCAAGAGGGCAGAGGATAGCTCCATGATCCTGGCGTCCGCATCCCGAGCACTCATGTCGATGTGAGACACTCTTTGATCGGCACCCTTGGGCGAGCTGCCACTCGAAGCACAGCTCTTGATTGTGGCGGTCGACAATGCGTCCTTCCTTGTTGCGGTGGACATGCGCGGGAGTTCCATTGTATAACTTGGTGGCGTTGCACTTTGAGAGGTTATGGGTGCGGCGACTGAGGCAGATGACGCATACTCCCCCTGCTGCAATGAGGGTGGTTCCGTCCCTTGATGCTGAGAGTGACTTCGACGAGGGGAAAGACTCGTCTTGGAAGGGACGGTGACGTCGATCTCTGGATTCCTCTCGAAAGGACCGCCGCGAGTCATGATTGTATGATCGACGGAACTCCTCCTGGGGTCCCCGACGTGGAGGTGGTGAAGCTGAGCGACGTTGGGACGAGGACGACATGAAACTGCGTGAATGGTTTCTATCGAAACGGCTGTCACGGGGGTTCCGGGTGGATAAACTGGAGTTGAGTTTCATCATTTCTTCGAACTATTGAGCGGCCGGGGGTTGTTTCGGTAATGGCAATGGCAATGGCAAATGGCAATGGCAAATGGCGGTGGCAAATGGCATATGGCGCATGGCACATGGTATAGTGATATGGCAATGGCGGACGATGGCAAAGGGGAAAAGATAAGTGAGTGTCTTATGCGAATATGAAACGGTAAAGAACGTACCCGACGTTCGCGATCTTCGTCTTCCTTAACCTGGAGCTTTCTCCGCCGGCTTGCGACAATTTCTTTGCAGTCTGCCATGACCTCGTCGTCGATTTTGGAGATATCAAAGAGTTCAACCTTTCGGTCGATGTGGTCGTGCCAACTCTTTCTGACGATGGCTTGATAGTGGACGAGAACTTCTAGACCCCCCTCGCGTCTGCGCAGCTCGTGAGTCTCCAGCTGGTAGAAAAAACTGTGAATGGCAAGAACAGTTTCTCGGGGCCAATCCAGAGCTTTGATTTCGGCCATGAAAAGGTAGCTGGCATCGGAGACTTCTGCCCAGGATAGGTTTTCGTCTGGTACAACATGTTGGTATGCTTTGAACTCGTTGCAGGGACGAATCTGTAGGCCGTTTTCGGAGGGAACCAGGCCGTATCCATCGCTCAAAGCCGTACTTGAAGCTTTGGTGGCTTCTATGCCTGCGGCGGTGCAGTAGAAGAGGGGAAGGTACTCGAAGTTCCGCAGACGGTTACGTGCGTATGCACATATCTGGTCGCCAATGCGGCCAACGCGTTTACCGGCAGTGAAGGTAAGAAGAGGTTGGCCGGGGTTGGCCGCACGAGGAAGACGTGGGGGAGGTGGTACGGGTTCGGGAGGGCCGTCAGCCTCGACCTGAGCATCCCACAAGGCCTTGTCCTGCTCGTTCCTCGTTTTCCAAGCCGTCTCCAGGTGCGCAATGGGGTCATCATCT